GTGGAGGCCGACGGTTGGGGCGGGATAGGCTGGAGGCGCGTGAGGAAAAAGAGAGAGGGAGGTTGAATATGAACAATGATCTGTTTTGGGCCGTTTGAGAAAGATCTGATGGTTCCTGAGAAAAATGACTGACAACTGAAACATTTTCCGATACCTAACGCATAGAGTCCAAAGAAAAAAGACCGAGGATTAATCACCTCCATATGATTGTTGGTATAGTCTTTATCCAAAAAAAGTTGTTGGTATAGTTTTCCCAAGTAAAAGAAAGTGATATTTGTTTTCATCTGACCTTTTATTTCTTTTGCCGTGGGTCAAAGTCCCACAAAATATGGGACCGGCTATATGTCAGTCGTCCAAAAATATATTTTGGGTAAGTTGATTTTCTAGACCATTAGATTAAAAATTGAACAGTCGATTTTCTTTCTTCTATCTCCAGCCTTCCTCCTCCTCGAACCGTTTCTCCTCCCACAAAATTGACTTACCATATTGCAAAATATAGCAAGGTGCAACAAACCGGAAGCGAATTTTGCGGGACATGAAGAACAAAAAATGCATCTATCATTCTATCATCTTCCTCTTACAGTTTTGTTACAACAAGTTGCACAGGGAAAGTAACAATAAGTTGCTCTATATGTGCTACTACAAGTGAACAAAATTACCTTGCTTTCACTAGAATATACATACATATATTCAACGAGAAAGAAACAATGTACTAACGACGAACCAAAGTCGAATCAGTCCCTATCATTGATAGTCGGCATCGCCGCCGGTGGTAATCCCGGCCTGCTGCTGGATGACGAGGATGGACACTTTGGACGCGAACTCCGCGGTGGCGAGCATGTCACCGAGCACGCCCAGCTCCGGGCACTCGCTCCACTCCGAGAGGCCGCTTGTGAGCGCCGACCCCTCGACGTCCCTGTCCTCCCCTCTCCGTCCGACGATGACCAGGTCGAACTTGTCGCTCATGGACCTCACCACCGACGCTGTCCCCTCCCCGTCCTCCACCGTCTTCTCCACGTACACCACCCTCTCGTCTTCCCTGTACCTTTGCCAGAATTCCTGGAGCACCTCCTCGTCCCTCACCTCGTCGTGCCCGCCCATCCCAACCCAGTTCCGCAGCTTGATCCGCACCACCGTCACCGACGTCCCCCCGCTCTCCGGCATCCTCGCCGCGTACGCCAGCGCCTCCCGGTCGTCGGGTCCCCCCAGGAAGTAGAGGGCCACCCTCTGGAGCAGGTTCCTGTTGGACGCCGTGGCGCACGCAGACCCGGACGCAAGGCCGTGGTCCACGAGGATGGCGACGGAGCAGGGCGCGTACTGGAGCACGGCGCGGTTGGCGGAGCGGACGGCGGAGTTGGCCGTGCTGCGCGCCCCGTCCGAGGACTTGTGGAACGGGAGGAGGATGAGGTTGGCCTTCCGGCTGTGCGCTAGCGAGCACACGTCATGGTGCATGGAGCTGTAGGGAGACTGGGCGACGTAGGGGCTCACCGTCACCGCCCCCGGCGCCGCCTGCTGCTCGAAGTGGCGGAACGCGTTCACGATGCGGTCCGACGGCGATGATGCGGTGGACGTGGACGACTTCTTGTGCGGCTTGAGCACGGAGGCGGCGCGGCCGACGAGCTCGGTGAGGTGGAGCACGATGAGGGAGACGGGGAAGTCGTGGTTCGCGCCGGAGGCCTCGAGGAGGTCGATGAGCGGCGCGGCGTGGTCCTCCGTGTAGAGGCAGGCCATCACACGGAGCTCCGCGTTGGGCCGAGCGCCCTCCATGGTCCGCCGCTTGGCCCTCGCGAACCTCCCTGTCGGGTCGTAGAGGATCTTGATGAGCGGCGTGGCCGCTGCCGTGATGAGCACCATGGACAAGGTCAGCGTCGAGTAATGCTCGGCAGTGGCCTTCATTGTGTCTCCCCAGTTGTTGATGGCGGCCACCTCCACGATGCCCCGGATGTTGAGCATGAGCGCCAGAGCCGTGGCCTCTCCGATCGGCATGGCGAAGAAGAGCCCCGCGGCTATGCAGCCCACCATCTTTCCGGCGACGCATAGGGCCACGAACAGCTCCAGCGCGCACCATTTCTCCTCGTGGCCGCCCAGCTCTGAGAAGTCTGTGCGGTAGCCGGCGAGCGCCATATACACGGGGAGGAAGAGCGCGATGAAGAAGGAGTCGAGCCGCTCCGTCATGGTGGCGCCGATCGGCATGCCACCGGGGATCGCGAGCCCCAGCATCATCGGCCCGATCATGTACTTGAACCCGATCACATCCGTCACCAGCGCCGACAGGAGTGCCGCGATCACCACGACGACGAAGGAACCCTCCGATAGGAGGTCACCCGCCGGCGTGCGCTTGTAGGCGATGTAGCGTCCGGCGGGGCGTGCCACGAAGGCGACGAAGAAGACGAAGCCGACGAAGGAGGCGAGGATGTTGGTAGTGAATGCGGGCGACTTGGCCTCCGTGACGAGGAACGCCGCGGCGAAGCAGGCTCGGAGGAACCAGGAGGTGACGTCGGTGATGAGGGACGCGGTGAGCGCGATGCGACCGAGCTCGGAGTTGAGGAGGTCGAGCTCGGCGAGCGCGTCGGCGATGACGGGGAAGGAGGAGAGCGAGAGGCGCACGGCGATCTCGGTGATGAGCGACGAGCCGCGAAGGTCGGCGGGGAGGGTGGGCTGTAGCATGTGGAACACCGGGAGCGTGATGGCGAGCGGGACGACGGAGCCAGCGAGGCCAACGGCGACGGCGCGGCCGCTGGGGCGGCGGAGCAGGCTCATGTCCGTCTTGACGCCCATGGAAAACAAGAAGAGGATGAGCGCGACGAGCGAGACGCTCTCGAGGATGTAGGTGCCGCGCTCGGAGAAGAGGGCGCCGCGGAGCTCGTGGTTGCGGCCGAGCACGGAGGGGCCGAGGAGGATGCCGACGAGCATGTGGGTGACGAAGCGGGACTGGCCGAGGCGGCGGAGCACGTGGTGGGCGGCGGCGGAGAGCAGGAGGATGAGGGAGACCTGGATGAGGAGGAGCGGGAGGGCGAAGCGCAGCGGCTGGTCCCCCAGGAACATGCCCTGCGAGTTCACCAGGTTGTTGTCATAGCACGCCGCCGCCACGGGCTTCACCGTCGCCGTGGCATCGGCCGCTGCCTTGGCCGCGGCCGCCGTCACGTTCACGGCGGCGTCCGTGTCCATCGTGGCTCGACGAGCTCCGGGCTAGCAACGCATGCAAATGCAATGGAGTGGCGGTGAGGATGACACTACGTCATGCATGCATGGATGATGGTCCTCTTCTTGTTTGGCTGAGCTCGAGCAGGGTGAGACCTATTCTTAGCCGTGTGGACGGGAGGGAGAGTAGAGGAAGAGATTGAACTCTTCTCCTGCCTTCCAAATTCAAACAATTCCTTCCCGTTTGCCAAAAACACAACGCTAGCTTCACATTTTTTCACCAAAGCTTGTAAAGTACTAGGACCAACTCTAGCCTGCCCATCATAAAAACTTGATTCCTGCATAATCCAAGTATTGAGAGGGCAAAAAGTTTTCCTTCCCTATTGATCACTTCCTTTGGCAGACATAAACCCCATACCAACTACATTGTCAGAATCAATTAGCAAGGGATACACAACTGAAAAAATTGCTCGAGCTGCCCCATAATGAAACCACTGGTACTCGCAAATATCTCAATTTTCCATTTCAGTTGGAAAATGCAACCAGATGCCACAATATCTTAATTCAAATCTCGACCTTTATGACATAAATGTTTCACCGACATTTCAAACTCATTGTTTTCAAATTCTCAAATTCAAATTAGAACACAACATATTATCCAAATGAAGCAAATATTTCAAATAAAATGATGAAAAGATCCTACGAAGCCCTCTAATTGCACCACTCTCCATCAGCTTCAGTCATGGCATCTGCATTGGGTGCTCTCATGTACTCCTCTTCAAAGAACTAATCACACCTTTGTACATTTCTTCACACGGATGATGACAAGATCTTCTGCAATGTGGGCATATTCATCTACATACTTTTTTTTGCCCTAGTATTCATTTGCATACTGACCCGAAACTCCATATGCATTGCCATGACACACTTCTGAATTGCACTTGCGCCAAGTTGTCCAATTGCATTCATCTTCTGATGGAACATACCATCATGCTATTCAATAACAATTACTATGCGTATAAAATCTCCGTCGACATTATGAACCGTCTTCTAAAACATATACATATCACAAGTATTGGTTTGTTGTTCAAAATTACTCTTTCAAAAAACTACCACAAAATTGGTTTGTTGTTCCAAAAAACCTTAGTCTTCAAATCGTTACATTTTAAGCCTTTTTACGACAAGGAGGGCCCTCTAGTCAGGTCCACGTTGGACACGGCTGATGGCGCGCATGGCTAATGGCCGTTAGGGTGAGCCGTTCCGACCAGGTGACAAGTGGTCGATGAGGGAGTCCCGGACTAAGGGGTCCTCGGGTTAGAAGGGAACCTCCGGAGACTTGGCGTATACTCCAAGTCTTGCTTGGCTTAGCTCGTGTGCTCATCCCTTGGTGGTAACCGACATATGTAACTCTAGGTACCCCTGGTGTCTATATAAACCAGAGGGTTTAGTCCGTAGAGGGGGAGAACCACCATCTTACTCATCTAGGGTTTAGTTCATCCGATCTCGCAGTAGATCAACTCAGTAATCATCATATACACACATCAATATAATCAAGCAGGATGTAGGGTTTGACCTCTTCGAGAGGGCCCAAACCTGGGTAAATATTGTCTCTGCGTTCTTTGTTACCCATTGATTCAAGATCCATAGCTCGGGACCCCCTACCCGAGATCTACCGGTTTTGACACCGACATTGGTGCTTTCATTGAGAGTTCCATTGTGAGATCATCAAAGGACCGATGGCTCGCTTAGTCACTAGCAAGGGCATCTGCACCATGGACAACTTCGTACATGGCCAGCTCTTCGCGTTTGTCGGTGTTGTTCTGCACGCTAACTCGACCGGTCACCTTGACCAGATCAATAGTCTCGCCCCTAGACAGGTAATCCGGTTTGGCAACCTGGAGTACACCGCTACGCCCGGGGTGATCTGATCTTCACTCGGTCCCCAGCCTTACCCGAGAAACCCAGAAATTCCAAAGCCTCAACTTCAAGCCTTCTCCTCGACCCTATCCTCAGGTCGGCCTCTATCCCAGACCTGGCTTTGAGCTCGGATCTGACCCCGACTTTGGACCACGGGTCATTCACACCCGAACACACCCCTTGTACCAACACGCTAGAGGTTAACCCCGAACGACGTCAGGGGATGGGACCATTGATGACCCACAAGTATAGGGAATCTATTGTAGTCCTTTCGATAAGTAAGAGTGTCGAACCCAACGAGGAGCAGAAGGAAATGACAAGCGGTTTTCAGTAAGGTATTCTCTACAAGCACTGAAATTATCGGTAACAGATAGTTTTGTGATAAGGTAATTCGTAACGGGTAACAAGTAATAAAAGTAAACAAGGTGCAGCAAGACGACCCAATCCTTTTTGTAGCAAAGGACAAGCCTGGACAAACTCTTATATAAAGGAAAGCGCTCCCGAGGACACATGGGAATTATCGTCAAGCTAGTTTCCATCACGCTCATATGATTCACGTTCGTTACTTTGATAATTTGATATGTGGGTGGACCGGTGCTTGGGTACTGCCCTTCCTTGGACAAGTATCCCACTTATGATTAACCCCTCTTGCAAGCATCCACAACTACAAAAGAAGTATCAAGGTAAACCTAACCATAGCATGAAACATATGGATCCAAATCAGCCCCTTATGAAGCAATGCATAAACTAGGGTTTAAGCTTCTGTCACTCTAGCAACCCATCATCTACTTATTACTTCCCAATGCCTTCCCCTAGGCCCAAACAATGGTAAAGTGCCATGTAGTCGACGTTCACATGACACCACTAGAGGAGAGACAACATACATCTCATCAAAATATCGAACGAATACCAGAGTCACATGACTACTTATATCAAGACTTCTCCCATGTCCTCAGGAACAAACATAACTACTCACAAATCATATTCATGTTCATAATCATAGGGGTATTAATATGCATAAAGGATCTAAACATATAATCTTCCACCAAATAAACCAACTAGCATCAACTACAAGGAGTAATCAGCACTACTAGCAACCAACAGGTACCAATCCGAGGTTTTGAGACAAAGATTGGATACAAGAGATGAACTAGGGTTTGAGATGAGATGGTGCTGGTAAAGATGTTGATGAAGATTGACCCCCTCCCGATGAGAGGATCGATAGTGATGACAATGGTGATGATTTCCCCCTCCCGGAGGGATGTTTCCCCGGCAGAACAGCTCCACCGGAGCCCCAGATTGGTTCCGCCAAGGTTCCGCCTCGAGACGGCGGCGCTTCGTCCCGAAAGCTTCCTTCTTATTTTTTCAGGGCGAAAGACTTCATATAGCAAAAGATGGGCACCGGAGGCCTGCCAGGGGGGCCACGAGGCAAGGGGCGCGCCCCCAATCCTCGTGGATGGTGGGTGGCCCCCCTCTGGTGCTTTCTTCACCCAATATTTTTATATATTTCAAAATTGACTTCTGTGGAGTTTCAGGACTTTTGGAGTTGTGCAGAATAGGTCTCTAATATTTGCTCCTTTCCCAGCCCAGAATTCCAGCTGCCGACATTCTCCCTCTTCGTGCAAACCTTGTAAAATAAGAGAGAATAGGCATAAGTATTGTGACATAATGTGTAATAACAACTCATAATGCAATAAGTATTGATATAAAAGCATGATGCAAAATGGACGTATCAACTCCCCAAGCTTAGACCTCACTTGTCCTCAAGCGGAAGCCGATAGCGAAAAATATGTCGACATGTTTAGAGATAGACGTGTCGATAAAATAAAACACAAACATGAGGGCATCATGATCATTCTTAGAAGAACAATATATATATATATATATATATATATATATATATATATATATATATTGTCATATGATTTCTTATGCTAAAGTAACAATCTATTCACAATGTGAAGTATGAATCAGAAACTTCATTGGAAACTGACAAACTATAATCTCAGTCATTGAAGCAATTGCAATTTAAAACTAACAAACTATAATCTCAGTCACTGAAGCAATTGCAATTTATCATAACATCGGAAAGAGTCAATAAGAGCTTTTTAGCAAGTCCACATACTCAACTATCATTTAGTCTTTCACAATTGCTAACACTCACACAATACTTATGAGTATGAAGCTTTAATCGGACACAGAGAAAGATAGGGGCTTATAGTTTTGCCTCCCAACCTTTTACCACAAGGGTAATGTCAACAATAATAGTTT